TCCTCCTCCTCCTCCTCCTTCACCTCCTCCTGCTCCTCCTCCTCCTCCTCCTCCTCCTCCTCCTCCTCCTCATTCTCTTCCTCATCCTTCACCTTCTCCTCCTTCCTCCCCCTCCTTCCTCCCCCTCCTCCTCTTTCCTTCCCCGACCACATAATTATTAATCTAATATCTATATGGTTTCCGCTTCGGCGCTGGCACGCTTATAATAAACGAACACGTCGACGTGCTATGACTATTGCTTCTATCTGTATGTCAATTAGGCCACGAGTTACTAGTCTCTCTCACCGACGACCCGACGCTAGGCACTCTTTCGCAGAACCACTTAACGCGCGTACGGGCTTTCCGCGAGGTCAGAATGTCGGGAGGGGCCGAAAGTCGCCTAACGCCTTGCTAACTTACGGTCCGCACACTTGCCGGTACTTAACCAACTCAACCAGAAGATGAAACGGGGTTTGATTTCAGGCGTTGAGGTTGGGTGAGGGGGAATTCGTAAGTGGAATGTATTAGGTTTCGGATTGGCACTTGCGCACACGCGGCAACAGCTTGTCCCATTATATTGATTGTGCTTTTCTGATCAGCGCGGCAAGCCCGTGGAAAATTGATATTCTGTAAGCCGGACATCAGCTGAAAGCTAGTTAACTCCATAAAGAGAGATCGGCGGATGTGGTTCACCGCCAGAGGGCTCTCCCTCTGCGTCGGCGGCGGCGGCGCGTAATGACGTTGGCACTAGATAATGTATTCCTTGTGGAGTCGTTTAGATGCTACATCGTGGATGGATGCTCTTCTGCGGAACGAGAGTAGCCAATTAGTGACAATGCCGCATGCAGATAATTAATTCAGCTGTTAATTCAGAGTGAATGGCACGTCCTTGAAAATAATCGACGGGACAAGTTACGTACACTGCTCGCGCGTTATTATTCGCATACGTCACAGTGCCATGCGCACACGTCATCACATTACGTGCTGACCTTCGCGCACGTCACGATGCTTCGTGTACTGATGAAGCCAGTAAAAGTTCAAGCACCTTTCGGTGCATGCATGCCCCGCTGATGGAACGCGTTGATGTTTGGCGCATGCTAGCATTAGTGAGTTTACGTAGGTTGCGTGAATGCCCTTGCTGCATCGGGTGCAAGCTCATTGAGGTGGATGCAGCATTCGTTTAGCAAACGCAAATAATTTACAAAATCGTGCAAGCCCGCGTGGTTATATACAATAATTGCAATAGACGTCAACCGCCGTCCCCCTCCACCCACCCTCCGCAACTGCTAAACTGCTTAACCTTAACCCAACCCAAAACAGTCCCCCCGCCCCACGTTTGTCGACCGTATGTAGAAACAACTTGTTAAATCGTGTTCATAGAATTACGCGAAGTCGCGGTCGTCCAATATTTGAGGGGCGGCAGTCGCATAATAACTGGGTGATAGTTGTTGACGTAGGACGTCGGC